GGGGATATTTCTGGTGGCAATTTTTCGGTGGTTGGGGTCGTGATTTTGGCTGTAGCGGTGGGGTTTCTGGCGGCGATTTTGGTGGTGGTTCAGTGGTAGTTGGACTGGTGTGGTGGTGCAGTGGTGGTGGACTGGTGGTGCAGTGGCGAAAATGGCAATTTCCCTTGTTTTGCAAATTTTCCCTTTTTTTGCTTGAAAACGGCCAAAACGATGTTTTTATCGTTTTGTGTTTTTTGAACAAATTTTTTATCGTTTTCAAAAACGCGTTTTCAAAAATAGGAAAGAGAAAGCATTTTCATTGTTTTGGAAAACCGAAAATAGAAAACGTCCCAAAACGGCCAAAGAGAACGGCCCCTAAACCTTTTTGAAAACCAATAATTTCTCGCAAAATGATTAATGAAGATGAGTTCCCTGGCCAAGAAAGCATTCCTTTCAAGGATATTGAAAGGATCACTGAATGACGTATTTTGTATTCTGGTGTACAGGAAAGGATTCTTCTACTAAAGTTGTTGACGTAGAAGCAGAAATAAGAGATGCAGATTGAGTTTTGCATAGTAATATCTTCATCTGTCGTGAACTAAAGAAAGGTCAATTGCAAAAGGCATGAGAAGTACAATGCGCCGAATGAGATTGCACTTCTATACCTTCATCATATAGTGTACTGTATGTATATTATTCATCTTTCAATTTACACTTGCAGTAAACGATTCCTTATATTTTCTCCTAGTGGCTTGGATAAAATGTAGATCACCAGATTGCCAGAAGAATTTTTTGTTCATAATATGCTAGTTGAATGACATTGTATTGAATTTAAAGGCAACTCTTCTTAGAGCTAGACTTTGACCAAAATTTGTGTGCAAAGTAAGACCAACTTATTTGTAAGTTCAAACTAGACTAGAGCAGAATTACCTAAATATAAATCACATTTCTTAAACGAAACGACGAGCAAAATATAAATCTCTCTTATTACTGGAAACGTCAGGCTGCTGATGGGATCTCAACATACAATTTAAAGAAACACATTCAAACCTGATACGAGGTTATCTAAAACGAGTGATCATAGCAAAGAGATCATAATCTGATTCTCGAAAGTGTGATGCCCAAGGTAAACAACTTTATTCCAGTAGTATCCACAGACTGAAACTAGTGAGCCCCTTCAACTTTCTGCCAAGAAGGGAAAAGCAAATAACGTCACGATGATATCATATCGAAATAGAATAATAATACATATGTCATCAAAGAAAACCAAAACTGTTCAAAAGAAACACAGAACACTATCCGATTTGGTAATCAAGATATGTCCAAATGCATAATCACCCCAAGAATGATAGTTTCTGGAAACAAGTTATTAGCAGTGAGAAAATTATACCTCTTCTTTCTTCTCTTTCTTGTCCCCCGTAAAGAATTTGTAACCTCCAAATAAGAGCAAGCCCCATCCAGTGAGAGAGACAATCACAAACTGTGAAACAACACAGGCTCTAGTCAAGCAGACAACGGCTGACCATTTGCACCCCTTGTGCATCTTAATGTCAAAGCCAATTTAAAACATACTCATACATGAAAAGCCCAATCAGCAGGTTTTCCATATCATTTATCAATCCATTGAAATATAGCACTAACGATGATAAATTTTAATTGATCTTGAACAAATTATCCTCCTTTAGTTTGTCATTTAACAAAGAATCACCATTAGAACTGATTAAGTTCTGCTAGTGTCAATTACAATTTTTGGTAGCTAATATCTCCCTTCGTCCTCCCGATTGCCACCATACCTCATTCGGTTTCGATAAATGTATTTAACAGAAGGACGTTTAACAGGTATCTATCAGTATTTTTCTCACTAAGTATCAAACATATTCTGACTATAACATAAAAATTATTAAACAAGTAAAAAAGAAGAAGCTGAAGTTAAATTACTAAAGAACAAAAGGAGCCCGAATGATTGGGGATTTACCAATCTTTTTCCCCTTAACAAGGGAAAACCTAATTAACAGATGAATATTAAACCAGTAGTACTTTGGTCATCTATTCATGCATGAGCTTCGATATGGAATCTAGTACTAAAGAAGTTAAATGATGTTTATTCTTTCAAAATTATCTACTTCTCCACTCCTTGCTACTTTTGTCCTACTTTCAAATGTGATTACAAACGAATGACACCAATAATTAGCACTCTCTCAACAACTTATTAGGGCACACAAGCTACTGAATATCTGTGGAAAACGTATAGGATTCTAGCTCTTCAAAAGCTAAATATTCATAAGCCTATGGATAACTTAATAGCATGCATTGAAACAGACCGGAAGAGAAATAGGTATGTTTAAAGGAACATGTTGATGATCTTGAATGCTTCGAGTTCATTAGGATTCTTGCAGTAATTAGCCTACAATTTGAACACTTGTCAAACAATTTCCTAGGCAATCAGCTTAATTAAAAAGCATTAATTTCACTTTTGCAGCCATATGCTAACGTATTCTAACCCAAAAAAGACCTAGGAAGCCCAATTTGAAACAAAAACAATGAAATCCAGGTAATAAAAAAGAAAGAAAATTTGTCCAGAAAACGTACGTGCTCTTCCTTCCACTTCGACGGGCTCATTGGATCGTCCCAAAAATTCACTCTCGGAGGTCCATCATGATCTGGATTACAAACACAAATATTAAAAAACAATCAATTAGTCACACAAATAGAAAAGAAAATTCAATCCTACTTCATCATATATTCACATTTTTTTTTTAAAAAAGCATTAATTTCGAATAAAACAGAGGTGCCGGGTGAAATTGCAAAAAATTACCGCCGCCGCTGGCGAGACCACGCCGTGGGATGAGGCTCGAGGCTTGGGTAGATTTGAGAATAGAGAGCCGAGCCAGATTCGAGGCTGGACGAGACGCGACTGTCCACGCCGCCATTTCTTGTGTTCAGAGCTTTTTTCTGTGATTCGGTGATAGAGGTGGAAAAGAGCTGTGGAGTGTACAGAATGTACGAGAAAGAAGAAGACTTAAAGAGTGTGTTTGTCAGTGATTTTTGGAGGAAGAATTGATTTTTGAATAGTGATATGATAGGAAATTTGTGGTTGCAAAAGAAGAAAAAAGTATTGATGTGATGGAAAATATTATTTTATTGAAGAATGTGTGGTTGAAAATGAGAATTGATTTACTGTAGAAAATGAGAATCTGTACCAAACAGGCCATTAAATGAGCCCAATGTTTGCCGTTTCCATGATAGGAAATTTGTGGTTGCAAAAGAAGAAAAAAGTATTGATGTGATGGAAAATATTATTTTATTGAAAAATGTATGGTTGAAAATGAGAATTGATTTACTGTAGAAAATGAGAATCTGTACCAAACAGGCCATTAAATGAGCCCAATGTTTGCCGTTTCCACCCCCACAAATATATCAATTTTGCATTTCACACCACAGAATTACAAAAATTACTCTATACATCAAATTGATAATCAGTTAATTCATTTACAGGGAAATTGACGGTCTCAAACCTTATTCCATCTTGCATTATTGGTTCAATTTTTTAAATTTTGATGTAAATGATCATTTAGAATGTAATCAATTAAAAAATATCATGAATTTTGAGCATGCAGTTCGCTCTGTTTTAAAGATAAATTACACGCGTTATTCAACTTCGAAGAAAATAGCCGTCCTCACATTTCCTAAATGGGCTGTGCCAACTTAAAGAATTAGTAGCTGATGGCCAAGATAGAAGTCCCTTAATAGCCTGTTTAGTGTTTCATCATAGACAAAACAAGTTACAAAGAGTTTCACACATGACATATGCTGAAACAGAATGTTTCCATGTACATTCGACAAAGTTATGCCCACAAATTAAACATGGTTGCCTTAAAAGTTACGCGTACACTATCACAAACTCACGCCCTCAAGTTACACACGGTAGAATACAGCTAAACAGAAAGATAGCAGTTCTTTATACTAAACTATGGCATTTTCACCATGGAAACATAGACATATTCACTAGCGTTGGATGTACAAAGGCCTGGACGTAGTTTCTTTCAAATGTCATGCAGCATTCCACAGCTCTTTATTCACGGTACACTGTTCAACATTCTGCAATAAAATCAACTTGAATATCAGAAAATCAATCAATCCAGGAAAATGAATGCTTCCCTATCACATTTAAAATACACCGTAATTCCAAGAGAATGTCTTGCATCACATTACACGTTTTTCAACTCCGGGACCCCCCTAATTCGAAAGGCTGGCTCCGCCCCTGGCCTGTTTAGTGTTTCATCATAGACAAAACAAGTTACACAGAGTTTCACACGTGACATATGCTGAAACAGAATGTTTCCATGTACATTCTACATAGTTATGCCCACAAATTAAACATGGTTGCCTTAAAAGTTACGCGTACACTTTCACAAACTCACGCCCTCAAGTTACACACTGTAGAATACAGCTAAACAGAAAGATAGCAGTTCTCCATACTAAACTCTGGCATTTTCACTATGGAGACACAGACAACAATTCACTAGCGTTGGATGTACAAGGGCCGGACGTAGTTTCTTTCAGATGTCTTGCAGCATTCCACAGCTCTTTATTCACGGTACACTGTTCAACATTCTGCAATAAAATCAACTTGAATATCAGAAAATCAATCAATCCTGGAAAATGAGATCAAATTCATTAATCCCATGCTTCCCTATCACATTTAAAATATACCGTAATTCCAAGAAAATGTCTTGCATCACATTACACGTTTAGAATAACCTAAAACAAAGAAAAATAACAGGAAACTAAGGGTGTTTATGTTGAAGCCCTTCGGCGAAACCAAATTTGTGAAAAATAAGAGACGGAAAAAAATGTTCACGCAACTCAATTTAATTTTCAAAAGGAAACGTGTGATGTTTTGTTATGAAATGAACTTTCTTGAGAGCCTATAAGAGAAACGGCTGAGCTTGGCAATTTGAAAACTGAAGAACAATTGGTGGTCTGCTGAGAAAGACTTCATCCTCATCCGTGGCTGAATACAGTGCCAATCCGCCATCAGGTGATAAGGGATCCAAAATCGTGCAAGTAGAAAACCAAATTCTATTTCTATTTTCTGAAATTCAAGATTAAACTGCACGTCAAAAAATTCTCTCTTAAACCGAAAGGTATGTATATATGATTATGTAGTTTGTTTTCCACAAAACAAAACAAAATGAAATGCATTTTGTTTTTTGACTAATCCTTCACAAAGATGCATTTTATAAGTTAAAACATAACTGAAATATGCAGAGAAACTTAGACGGACCGAGCAGCAATCGAACCACTAGATAATTTGACTGTTGGGAATTTACAGCCTATAT